ACAAGAAAAACAAAAATCCCCAACCCCCAACCTCGATTAGTGTCTCATAAAGATTTCACTCATATATGTAAGAATGTGTTTCCTTATTTTCTTCTGGCTTGTATCAGTTTTACAAATGTATTCATACTACATAATTGCCTCAGATATTGCAGCAGATACAGTGAAAGTGTCTAAGCTTTGAAATGTAAAAGATATCGACCTACTATATACCTGTAAAGCTGTGAAGCCACCGCTGTGTAATGCCATTCTGTTATAATTGGCCACCTACAGTATGTGTGCAGTGCTTTCATCTGCTGACTCTGCAGAGATAACATGGGGCCATCTTTTTTGCACTCACAAATTCAGAACAATATCCATTTATACTTGTTGTATAAGATTTACCGTGTGCCAGTATGAGACCATTATATCATTATAACCTGGTTCCAATAGAAATATAAGCCATTTATTATCTTTGGCTAATGTGATTTAAACAGAGCAGCCTCACAAAAACGGATAGGTCATTATCACAACTGTTTATTCATACATTCTGCAGCTTTACATTTACTACAATACATTTACATTTATTCATAGAAAATACATTGATCCGTCCATACATTCACTGAGAACCCTTACGTGCCATTTATGTGTGATTTATACATCACCATGTAAATACCTTCAAATGAAAGGTGAAACTTGATTTGATCAAAACAATGATAAAAACAATAAAGTGATTGTCTGGAGTTTGTCAGAAAAAAGAGACAGAGGTACATGATTTGAAAAAAACCATCCAAGCTCCCTCCCCCTTCCTTTCTGATTGGTCTACGTTTCCATAACAATCAATCAACACATTCAAATGTTAATCGGAGAACACATTATACATATACATTATTAATACACATGCACAGAGGTTTTCAGAATTATTTGTTTAAGTTTTTATGACAAAAATAATTTAATTTAATGCACAAAAAAAGCGATAATCGGTAAACCCGGAAGTAGCTATTATCATTAAATGAACATTATAGGATACATCTGCAGAGCATCTGATTATGGATATAGGTTCAGTATATAAATGATTATGGATATAGGTTCAGTATATAAATGATTATGGATATAGGTTCAATATATAAATGATTATGGATATAGGTTCAGTATATAAATGATTATGGATATAGGTTCAGTATATAAATGATTATGGATATAGGTTCAGTATATAAATGGGTTACTCAGCGCAGATGTTCAGAATTCTTTGTTTAATTTTCATGTAGTTCCAGAGGCTGTGGACTGTGGAGGCTTGATTTCGGAGGCTTTGTGAGAACAAACAACTGAGCATGAGCGCCGATGATTGACAGCCCTTTGCATCACTTGATTGGTTAAACTGGACGGCTATAGCTCGAAATCGTGGATTTCTAGCTATAGCTAAGAGAAGGGAAGGCGGGACTTACCCGTAATATTAGAATTAATAAAAGGACTTATTTTATATCAACATTTAAGGCCAGGAGGTCAATTTAATACAATTCTTAAAATGTGTAATTCATTTAGAGTTCCAGATTATCACTTTAACTGAAAAAATAACTATCACTTTCACATGCATGTATCATTGGGCCTCAATCAGAAAAGTGCAATGAGAGGACCACCCTCATTCAGCCCAAATAGTGACTTATAACATCATGAAATGTCCCAATATTTAAGAGCCCTGCAGTCAATCAAAGAGAGGTAGACTCTCAACACACAACAAATGAAGCTGTAGGCTTCATCGGTCACTGTAAAGATACCTTACCTCACCTTGTTCCATCCTTGTCTTGAGTGTTGGATCCTGTGGATATGTCCAGCACAAATTTTTCAAAATGTCTTGGTCCTTGGTTTTCCCCTTGACATGTTTTAAGTTTTCTGGATATACTGTATGGCCAGAGTACTGAAGTTTGCTTTGTTTCAAAGACGCTGGTTGGGGACCAGCCTCGTTTTGGTCTCCTTTAACACATATCATTTCATAGGATCATAATTTTGGGTGACAACATGGGTGTATGCAGGCAGGTGTCTGTGTGAGAGTGTGTATATCTGCGGTACCACTCACACGCTTGTGCATAAGTGGTTGGCCTCCGTGTATGGCCTCCAGGACATCGAGGTAATTGTGAGTTGCTTTTTTAAGATAAATTGAATGTTGAAGTTTCATACGACAAACATTCATATTACCTGTGGAAATGTCCAACAAAGGCAATCCTGGACAATAGCTTTGTTTGTACTGAATGAGAATGATCTTTAATACTATATTGTTTTTGGCAGAAATAAAATGGAATATGTAAAGTATGAATTGTTTTTGGGTATAAAAAAAAGCACAGCCAAACAAGCATCACTACATCTCTCAGTTGAAACCTGTATTAAACCAGGCATCCATGGCCTTCTCACTAGGATACAAATGTGAATATAAAAGGGCAGTGGCCGCATACATTATAGTGAAATAATACACACGCTGAGCATAAAAGTCATTAGTTTAACTGTACGTCCGCCACAATTCCACACTACAGCAGCTGCTTATATTATACCCACCTTGCTTCTTCCAACACGTTTCTCTTATTCCTGCCAAGCTCGCACCTGCAAGTCTGCTTTCAACCGGTAACATAATCTTCTGCGGTAAAAAACAAAAAAAATCACGAGTGGAGTGGTTTTCTTTTTTTTTTTGAGCCAAATTGGACATTTAGCTCAGAAACATAATTACTCGAGCTGATTGGAACAACATGGCAGCATTTGGAGACGAGGACTTGGCTCCATTTCTTTCTTTGATTTGCAACATCTAATTGCTTTTCTGTGGGCAGTCTCGCTCTGATGCTAATTTCAGTTTTTTGTACTTTTATGTGGTTCACAATGAAGTCTTGAGATTCTCTTTGCTACTTTGATGAAAGATGTATGAGTTCTGAGGACTTGTATAGCACTGCACCATAAGTGGGGCATGTATTTTTGTATTATTATTATTTTAGAACAAACTTTACATATGCGTAGTCATCTGTGTCTTGATTGGATTTACGTTTTCAAAGGGACAGATGTCATTTTTTTTATCTTAAACTGCAGCTTTTATGTTAATTATTTTTGGACTTGTCTGAACTAAAGAGAAGTTATTAATGATAAAAATACTATGGACATATTTTCAAACAGATTATAACAGAAAGCTGAATGAGCCTCTCTTTTGGGTTGCTAGTCTGTCTGGTAAAAATATTGTATTTTGAGCACAAAAAAATTGTGTTTAGGAGCTTCATGTGTCACCAGCAGAAGATGTTGGCAAAAAAGTGTGTATTGCATTTATGTGAATTGTGTTATTTTAAAAGGGAGTTATACATACAGTTGGATTGGATTGGATAGCCAAGTTCAGTAAAAGGAGATTTTTTTTTACGGACACTTTGCTTATTACTAATTAAAGCTGGGGTATTTAATTACCTTCAAACCACCAACCATGTCTAACTACTAGTTCCTTGCTCTGAAAACAGTTCGGTTCTATCACTAGTTTACACAATCATATATTTTTTCAGCTTTCAGCTTCTCTAGAGAAAGAGTGAAAATGATTGGACCACCCTCTCAGCCAATCAGCTCTCAGCCAATCAGCTCTCAGTCCAAAGCGTCATTATGTGATTCCCGGGGCTCTGTCGCAAAAGATAACAGATAAAAAGGTAAAGACTGCATTTTTTGATCTGATTTGATCCCAAGATGTTTCTTAAAGGACACTCTTTCTATTTGGACTTTTTTATTATTATTTATAGGAAAAAATAAATGTCATATACCCCTACTTTAATCAAGTTATGATCAAGTTATCTTCCACAATGTCAATGTCAATGTCAGCTTTATTTATATAGCACATTTACAACAACACCAGCTGCCCAAAGTGCTTCACAGACACAAAAGATGAAAAGATAAAAGCAAACAGCATAAAATACATGCAAATACATGTAAAAAGTAAAACTCAGTGGGTGTTAAAAGCCAAGGCGTAAAAATGTGTCTTTAGACTAGATTTAGCTGCTCATCATGTCCAGTTCAATGTCTCAAGGCTCTGAATGTGTGCAGCTATGGTCATGGTTACTACTGTGTTATGTTGTATTCGTAAAGTGAAAGAATTACAACAGAATACAGATTAAGATTAAGAGATCCTTTATTCATCCCACTGTGGAGAAATTTCAGTGTTGCATCACAAGTTATAGAGCAGTAGGAATGAGGAGCACACAGTAAAAGATAAGTGAACAATAGCTATACTAATTCATACAAAACAAAATCTCTTACTCTAGCATCAAAGAACAAATATAAAATCTCTATCTTGAATATAAGAACAATATTAAAGGTGCGGTAAGCGATTTTGTTAGCTTAGCTGTAGGACCAACTGGAAACCACTCCCCCTCCACTCGCCTCTCAACCAAACCAAACATCCAGCATTTTCTTTTCTTTGTCACAACAGGGAGAGTGGGTGGCAAAACGTGAAATTGGCATTTTCTGTTCAGCACTTTTAGGTTTTAGAAAATCCGATAACTCATGTGCGCGCACTCAAGAGAAACAGGAAGAGGGTGAAGGGGGGTTAACACATCCTATTGGTTCGTCAGGGATGAACGAATCAGATTGGTTTATTTTCATCGGTCCGTTCCAAAATATTGTTTATTCGTTTTTGGAGACTACAGGTATCTGGTCAATTCCATTACTATTTGAAAACACACTTGACTACTTTTTACGGGTTTACGGACGTTTTCCCACAATATTTAAAATAATGCGTCTGGAAAGAAAACACTGACTGCATCTTAAATCTACCTATTGACTAAAGATTGTCAAGTCCTTTACTTGTTTTGTATCTCTTCCAATACATTTAAAAAACCATGATGTCACAATTTAGCCATGGCAACATTCCTTGACAACAGCAGAATCTTAGAATGTGACATTTGGAATGTAATTACATCACTTACTCACTGGGTCAGTTAGCGTGATATTCACTTGCAGAGAGCAACGCTGTTGGATTCACTGCATCTTGAACTCGAGATTTACATTTGGATAACGCCATGAAGTCCACTGCTTACAAGAACGACCTTACTCAGGTCAACGATCTGGTGACAAAGTTACAGTTGCCAATTCACTTCTTCGACTCCCAGGAGCCAGGATTTGTCGGGCAGAGGATTTTTGTCGTCACCCTCAAAGTGGGCACTCTCTGCGCTGTGGGGAAAGGCCACAACAAGAAAGAGGCCAGAGCCAGAGCAGCGTCCATCGTCCTGGGACCTTTAAAACAAATGTACCTGCCGCCTCTGCAGAGCAACCACCAGGCTACAGCAAAGAAGAGAAACACTCAGGAGCAAGTGCAGGACGTCAAAGAAGACATCAAACCCTGTGGCCACCTGTCTGAGGTGGTGCAGGCCCATGGGATAAAGTACCCAGAGTACACCCTGCTGGAGGCCACTCGCGTCCCCTGGGGTTGGCTCTTTACTATGAGAGTCTCAGTCCAAGAGATGTCTGCTGTAGCCACGGGGCCAACAAAGAAAGCTGCTAAAAACAACGCGGCCGCAACAATGTTGGAGCTGTTGGGGTTTGATTGCCCCCAATACCACCCTTTGATTGATAAAAAGCATGTAACCACAACAAAGCCTAAGGTATAGTTTTTTTTTTTTTTTTTTTAAATAATTTATACAATATAAGAAAATAATTGACCAGAATTTAACTGAGTTGTACATCAGGTCAAAGAAGAGGAAGAGAGGTCCCAGATAGATTTCCTTATCGAGGCCTCTCCTGAATCTCAGAGCCCCCAGCACCACCCTTGGCTGGACATGATCCCAACAAAGCCTGAGGTAACGGTTATTAACATTTATGCAACTTCAATTAAAAATGACTTGAAATAAACTAAACTGAATTGTACACCAGGTGGACAAAGATGAGAGAGATGCACTTGTATCATCTCCTGTTGAGGATCGTCAGGACATCTGCACATCTCCTGATGTTGAAGAAGAGTGGGAGGAATATCTTGACTCAGACACAGCCAGTGTACACGAGGCCATGAACAATGAGACTGGATCAGGTTTATGTGAGAACCAAGAGACCAGACCAGAGGCAGAAATCTATGAAGACACTGTTGTCTCAGAGATTTCCAGTCAGCCAGAAGAGCTTCAAGAAGAACACGTTATTGAGGCTGATCTGGAACCTGAGAGCCAGTTCCACTCTTTGGTGGACACTACCTCAACAAAGCATGAGGTAAGGCTATAAACATTTATGTGATTAAAAAAATATTGAATTGAAGTGAATTGAATTGAACTGAATTTTACACCAGGTGGACAAAGACGAGAGAGAGACTGGAGCAGAAGTTTTATCTGCGAGCCCAGAAACCAGTCTCATAGAGTCCAGGGAGACAGATGAGACAAAGCCTGAGGTAAAGCTCATTCATGTAAATAAAAAGTACATTGAATTGAAATAAAATCAATTGTACATCAGGTGGACAAAGAAGAGGAAGAGAGGTCTCAGACAGACTTCATTATCGACGCCTCTCCTGAATCTCAGAGCCCCCAGCACCACCCTTGGCTGGACATGATCCCAACAAAGCCTGAGGTAACGGTTATTAACATTTATGCAACTTTATTTAAAAATGACTTGAATTGAACTAAACTGAATTGTACACCAGGTGGACAAAGACAAGAGAGAGACTGGAGCAGAAGTTGCATCTGCGAGCCCAGAAACCAGCCTCAAAGAGTCCAGGGAGACAGATGAGACAAAGCCTGAGGTAAAGGTTGTTAACATTCATGCAGATAAAAAAAAATTCAATTTAACTTAATTCAATTGTACACCAGGTGGACAAAGAGGAGAAAGCGTTGTCCCATCTGACATCAGAGATGAATACTCATGGAATAGAGAGTGTTCCAACAGAACGCAATGAGATTCAGGAAGAACTCCTAATTGAGGCCTTTCCTGAACCTGCGTGTCCACAGAAGCACCATTGGCGGGACATTTCCTCACCAAAGCCTGAGGTAAAAGTTGATCACATTTTTGCAATTTTAAAAATGAATTGAATTGAACTGAACTGAATGGAATTATACACCAGGTGGACAAAGAGGAGGAAGAGGTTTCACATCTGAACCTAGAAATCAGCTCAGACATGAACATTCATGAAACAGAGAGTGTTCAAACAGAGGTAGATGAGATTCAGGAAGAACTCATTATTGAGGTCTCCCCTGAACCTGAGTTTCCGCCGAACCAACCTTTGCTGGACATTTCCTCACTAAAGCCTGAGGTAAAGATTATCAATTTTATTTATTATTTATGTACTTAAAATGAATCGAACTGAATTGTACACCAGGCGGACAAAGACAAGAGAGAGACTGGAGCAGAATTTGTATCTGCGAGCCCAGAAACCAGCCTCATGGACTCCAGGGAGAAAGATGAGACAAAGCCTGAGGTAAAGGTTGTTAACATTTATGCAATACAATAATATAATTGATTTATAATTGACTTGAATTATACTCCAGGTGGACAAAGAGGAGGTCTGTCCTCTGAGTGAAGATGTGACTGCATCAGCATCTGTAGACATCACAGAGGCTGGAGATGTCCTCACAGATCAGAGGAGGTCCTTAGAGATGATTGAAGCTGATGTTGTCAGTCAAGAGGATTTCCCCTGTCTTCCTCCAATACTGGAGGGTCCATCTGTGGCCAGCGTCCTTGTACGAGCTCTGGTTCAAAAGCTGGTTCAAAAGTCCTATTTCAAACCTGAAGACCAGGGAGAGAATATCCGCCTGCTGCTGGAGAAGACTGAGGAGCACATTCACCACCAGGATGTTCCAATCTCTCTTAAAAATATGAGAGCTATTGGAAAAGCCGCAACCAAAGGCCTGTTGAGGGAGTGCAGGCTCCAGGGGGCGCCACTGAGAGCTGAGGATGAGATCTTCCAGAAGGCAATGGTGAAACATCTAAACCACTGTCTGAACAAGTTCCTGTTTGGACCACAGAGGAGGGGACTCTCTCGACTCTTCGCCGCTGTGGGCCGGTTCTTCTGTGGCTCATAAACATAAGCCTGCATGGCTTCATGTGCATCTAAAATAAAGCATTACACAAATATTTTGTACTGACTCAATTACATGATGCTAAAATTACATGATGCTAAAATAATCAAGTTAATTACAGCTTAAAAATTAATTAATCGTAATTAATCATATTTCAAACTATCTGCGAAATTATACCATATTTCTCTGTAAATGGTTGTTTAAATGGAATAAATGACAATATAGTGTTCATATGTACTGTATTTGTTTATTAAAACAACAATAAATCCACATATAATGGCATTAACATTATGTCTTTCTTTAGTAGACAGTATTATTTCCTAAAAAAAGCAAAAAGAGGACCTCTTGTTCAGTAACAGAAAACTGTCTACAGTCCATTGAAACCCACTCGGCAAGTAACTCTTTATTTTCTAATGAGTTCATAAAAATGCTTACATGTTTACATCAGTAAAGTGACAGAGACACATGTGGTTATTGCACATTCTGATATTAGTTAAAGATATTGCAACGATGCATGACATGTGAGATCAGGTTGGCAGTGTTCATTAGTCCTCATTGTTTGTTGTACAGTCTGACAGCAGCTAGAAAGAAAGACCTGCGGAACCTCTCCTTCACACTGTGAGGGTGAATAAGTCTGTCACTGAAGCTGCTCTCCAGAGCAGAGAGAGTGTCCTGCAGGGGGTGACAGTCATGGTCCAGCATAGATGTTAGTTTGCTCAGGACCCTCCTGTCCCCCACCTGCTGCACTGTGTCCAGGGAACAGCCCAGGACTGAGCTGGACTTCCTGAGGACCTTGTCCAGCTTCTTCCTGTCCCTCTCTGTGATGCTGCTGTTCCAGCAGACCACACCGTACAAGAGGCTGATGCCACCACAGAGTCATAGAGGGTCTTCAGGAGTGGCCCCTGCACTCCAAAAGACCTGAGCCTCCTCAGCAGGTAGAGTCAGCTCTGGCCCTTCTTGAAGAGGGCGTCTGTGTTGTAAGTCCAGTCCAGTTTGTGGTTCAAAGTAACAGTACCTTTCAAATTGAAAAGAAAGTGACACTTCTTGAAGACAAGCACAGGTTTGACCCGCGCAGAAATTGACCAGAAATACAAATGAAGTCACTGACATAACATTTAAGTTATTCCATACCATGTGAGTGCCTTTAAGGCTTGCCTAATCCAAGTTAGTAAATCAGTTTTGCCTCTCTCTCGGCCCTAGGTCTGATTCCACCTCCAGGCCTTTCTGTGTGGAGTTTGCACGATCTCAGCATGTCTACATAGGTTTCCTCCGGGTGCTCCGGTCTCTCCTACCACTAAAACATGCACAATAGATTTGAATGTCACGCGAGAGTGATCAGATGGTGATGTTGGAGGCTTTGATATTTGAGTGTCTCGCTTCTGTCCTCACCGTGAATTGAGTGAATGGAAAAATATCTGAACTCTAAAAACATTATGAAGAACTTAATTGATCTGTGAAATGTGCTAGATAAAGGTGACTTACTCTCTCTCTGCAGCTTCTTTTGTTCATGTTGTGGTGATTTTTGTTTCTTTTTCGCAACATTTCATCTTTGGGGTTTTCATCATTTCATACCTACATTATTCCACATTGGTGATATTTATTCTTTTTTTGTGCAACATTAGTTTTTGCTTGCTTGCATACAATTTATGTACGGTTGTTTGAGTTGAAAAGACGTTTTATTTTATTTATTTAAGCTTTGCTGAGACATTATGCATCCACTATAATAATAATAGACATAATAATAATAATAATAATAATAATATTAAATAAATACATTTCACACAAAAACTTGTAAGTTTGTCCACAGCTGCAGTATATTCCACAGGATGTGCATGCGCGCTGTGGACTCAATAAAATCAAAAATAAAATCGTTTAAAAAAACCAAAAAAACAGGTTGTTTGTGGTCAGTTAAAACGGCATGAGTGCATTGTTCAAACCCAAAAGTAGAAGCACAGGGAAAAGGGCACCTCCTCTGAGCACTGACTGCATTCTGATGCGTTTCTGAATAAATATTCAAAAAGCCCGGTCTGTCGACCAGACGGCACATTAATGTGTGTTTTATAGGCAATGTCAGACACTTCTAATGTGTTCATTTTCATTAGAATGCATAACTTTAACCTGGCTCTCATGGGCTGCTATAAGTCTTTTCAGAAAACAACCATCATTTGCACTCTTCAAGAATCAAGCAATACAATCTATCTGCAAAAAATGTTCCATGGTTCAATAAAAAATAATTGGAGGCCACTTGAGCACACCTGGTCCTGCACTCACTGCTACCGATAATAGTCAATGCAGGACCGGGTGTGTCCTAATGTGTCAGTGTATCTGAAAACTTGACGGTTAGCGTGTTGGAATGACTACGGCTGCAGTTGTTTATGGAGAGTGTGAATACAAGTGGTGAGCTGACAAAGCCCTGGGGCGCTCCAGTGTCGATGGTCTTCATGTTGGACAGTGGATGGTTCACTCTGATTTGCAGGGCCCTGTTGGATAGAAATAAGTGATACCATCTGATTATGTCTGGACTGATAGACATTTGTAGGAGTTTGGTTTGTGTGGTGTAGATGTGTGGTTGCAGAGAGTTAAATATGGAGCTGAAATCAATAAACTGCTGTTTATTAGCCTGGCATCAGCTTTAGGCTGTTTCAGGTGCTGAGAGCATTATGTTCTACTGTTATTGCTGCATCATCAGTGCTGCGATTGCTTTTTATAAGAAAACTGTTAAGGGTCAAGCTTGCTTCCAACGTCTGACGGCAGCTCTCCCACCATCAGCTTCCCAAGGCACTTCATGACATTGGAGTTCAGGGCTTTGCCTTATCCTAAAGATGTACATACATACTGTATGCATTCATTTATATATATATTTGAAATTGTATGACTTTCTGTTTCCCATCCAAATACAAGAAGTCATGATAGAATAATAATAATAGAAATGTCCTAATTTCTAACTGGGGCTTGTCAAAAAGTTTCTACCCCATGTTAATTTGCTGCCTAAAAAAGAAAATCCTGAATAAATGGAGAACAATGCAATACCCCCATAGGTTGTCCAAATGTTAGTGACTCTGGTGGGGCTATGACTTTTTCAGCCGACTAATAATGCCACAAAATATATCTTTATACATAAGCTCAACACCATGGTGCCGCTGCTGTATCTGCAAAACAAAGATAAAGCTTCAGCCTGCTGAGTGTGAAGTGAAGTGGATGTAATCGCAGCCGTTCTGTGCAGGTAAGTGGCTATTTAAAAATAAGGGGACAACCGAAATGCTCCAGACACAAATATTGAAACTATACAATGCGCTTTTGCAAGGACAGTGACTGCAGAGATATCACTCATACAAAGCGAATCATCCAATTTGTGCCAAAAAATAACTAAACCCAGGTCAAAATTCATGGTAAAAACTTCATATTGTTCTCCCCTTATTGTTGCTTTATTGTTTATGCTTCTGTTTCAACTGAAAACACTGATAACTTACCAACTCCTCATTGACTGCCATTGACGTATTTATCCGATTATTTCTGTCAAACAGGCGACAGTAGCTCAGTTGGTAGAGCATTGGCCTTCAGGCCTGAAGGTCGTGGGTTCAATTCCCACCTCTACACCTTCTCCACCGACTCCCACTGATGACTGCTGTCGTTGCGTCCTTGGGCAAGACACTTAACCCCACTTTGCCCAAAAGCCCCCACTGAAAGATCAAGGCTATGCTCACACTCAGAGAGCAGCCGTCCTCCTGTGGACTCACCACCTGCAGAGGGTCAGTGAGGGGCTGGTGCTATGAGACTTGGGTGGCATCTCTGACTGCCACCCCCCTTATCCAGAAATGGATTAAAGGGAAGAAAATGGATGGATGGATGGATTTCTGTCAAACGTCCCTCTATTTGACTGGGGATTACAGAAGAACCAAACTAGCTAGAAACCAACTTAATTTTGCTTATGAAAGGAGACAGTCCAGTCTTTCAGAATCTGGTTTCACATTTTACCTGGTAATAGCACACAATACTCTGTGTGAAATCGTCCAAAACGGCTGGCAGTCAATGAGTTACAGTAACAAGTTGGAACAAGGTGATCACTCATCAAAAATTCAACCATGACTATGCAGCACTTTGTGAACGTTGTTTTTGAAAAGTACTTTACAAAACAATATTTACTATTGTTATGTGTCCCAGGATAACTCTGGAGGCATAGCAAACTTCAAAGTCCAAACCCGCGGCTGAGTCAAGGTCCAACCCTAATCCAATGAAAACCAGTGGAAAGACGTGAGAGAGGCCTTTCACACACAATCTCCATGTACTGTAATTTGACAGTGGTTTAGTTTTTTTTTTCAACATACAGCTGGGAAAAAAAAATCAATCCCTGCAAAAGCTTATAAAGGAGCTTTCAAAAAAACAAGGGGGGTCTCTTGTGAATGCTCCACTTTTCAGATTTGTTATGTTTAACAAAAAAGAAAAAAAGTAATTGTTTCACTTTCACCGAACAGTGGTGTGTTCCTCTTGATGATTGTTGTCGTAACCATGACAATATGTGCAAAAGTTCAAGTTGTATTATTCTCCCTTGACATAAACATCACCATTACAGTTTTGTGAAATAAAAACGCTTAGACCGCTGGGGTGATTCTCTACAGCTCAGACAAAAGCCCTCAAAAGACGCTTTGTTCCCCCTCAGTTATTCAAATCCACATGCATTCACTTTAATCTATGATCTTTACACAATTCAGCACCATCACACAGCTGTTTTGGCATGAATGAAAACGCCATCAATTACACATAAAGAAAGAAAACCTGAATATGGCTTGATAAAAGTCTTGCACTGTTTCCATAGCGATTAACAATGAAATACTTTTCCAATGACCCGTGAAAAAAAGACCTACTTTAATATACAATTGAAAAACTCGAAAACCAGAACCGAAGCAAGGCCAAACAGGAATATATAAGAAACAAAATTTAATAAATATTAATAGAATAAACCAGAAAAAAACAGTTTGGCCTGCCTTGATGGATGCCTCCGCTTT